GGGTCTCGAACCCGCAGGCTCAGGCAATCCACTCACCTCAGCCTCCCAAAGGCGCGGGATTACAGGCTGAGCCACCGAGCCCGGCTTGAAATATTTATAATGGTCTAAAACCATATTCCTGTCCAGGTGAAATAAGATTCTATCAAAAAGCACCACCATTAAATGGTATTAAAAAAAAAGTTCCTACAGTCCTCTAATAAGAATCATCTTTTAATTTCGAAGAACCTAAGTGCTTATCTGAATAAAATTTAAAAAGCAAGACTCTAAAACATCTTTAATATGATGTCTAGTTTGATCTTCTATGATTCTAACTTCATCATTTCTAACATGAAAGGTGAAATGCTCCTTCATCAAAAGGAAAATCCCCACTCACTGGGAAACTAACCAACATACTTCTTTTTTTTTTTTTTTTTTTTGAGTTGGAGTTTCACTCCATTGCCCAGGCTGGAGTGCAGTGGCACGCTCCGGGGCACCACACCGCGGCCTCGACCTGCTGGGCTCCAGAGATCCTTCTGCCTCAGCCTTCCAAGTAGCCAGAAATATAGGCATGGACTACCACATCCGGCTAATTTTTGATTTATTGTAGAGACGAAGTCTTACAAGTTGCCCAGGCTGGTCTCAAACCCACAGCCTCAGGCAATCCACTCACCTCAGCCTCCCAAAGTGCTGGGATTACAGACTGAACCACCAAGCCCAGCCTAACCAACATACTTCTAAATAATACTTCTTCTAAAGAAGTCTCAAGAGAAGTTTTACAGTATATCAAACAGAATGAAAATGAAAATTAAACAACAAAACTTATGAAACACAGTAAAAGTATTGCTGAGAGGGAAATTGATAACATTAAATTAATACATAATAATGAGGAAAAGTCGATCAGGCGCGGTGGCTCAAGCCTGTAATCCCAGCACTTTGGGAGGCCTGGGCAACATGGTGAGACCTCCTCTACAATAAATAAATAAAAATTAGCTGGGTGTGGTAGCACATGCCTGTAGTTCTGGCTACTTGGAAGGCTTAGGTGAAAGAATCACCGGAGCCTAGCAGGTCAACACTGGAGAGGCCATGAGTGTGCCACTGCACTCCAGCCTGAGCAATGGAGTGAGACTACAACTCAAAAAAAAAAAGAAAGAAAGAAATGAGGAAAAGCCTCAATCAATAATCTAAGCTTCCACTTCAAGAATCTAAGAAAAGAACAAAATAAACCTAAAGTAAGCAAAAAGAAGCAAATAGTAAAAACAAAACAGAAATCAATTAAATTAGAAACAGAAGAACAATAGAGAAAAAAGAACCAATATAACAAAGATAAGTAAAATTGACAAACCTCTAGCAAGAAGGACAAAGCAAAAAAGAGAAAAGAAAGCAATAACAGAATTAGGAATGAAACTGGAATACCACTGCAGACACTACAGATATTAAAATAATAATAATAAGGGAATGCTACACATAACTCTACAAACATAAATTTGAAAACTTACATGAAATGGACCCATACTTTGAAAAATACAAACTACCACAACTCATCCAATTTTAAACACACAGCATAAATAGCCCTAATAATATTAAGGAGTAGAATATATAATGTAGAAACTCCGCAAAAAGAAATCTACAGGTCCAGATAGTTTTGCTACAGAACTCTAACAAACATCTGAAGAGGAGTTAATGTTAATTATATATAATCTCTTCTAGAAAATAGAAGAGAAGGGAATACTCCCAATTAATTTTATGAATACTAGTTTTACTTTGATACCAAAACCAGAGAAAGACAATACAAGACAGGAAACTACAAATCAATAATCCCTTGTGAATATATACACAAAAATCCTTAACAAAATATTAGCAAATAGAATTCAGCAATATTTAAAAAGAATTATGCTCCATGACCAAGTGAGATTTATTACTGGAACACAAGGCTGGTTCAACATCCCAAAACCAATCAATACAAGCAATTAACATATGACCCAGCAACTGCACTCCTGGGCACTTATCCTTGAGAAATAAAACCTTATATTCACCAAAGACCCTATTCACAACTGTTTATAGCAGCTTATTTATAATAGTTCCAAATCAGAAAAAAACCAGAAGTCCTTCAGTGGGTGAACAGTTACACAGTGGTATATCCATATCATGGAATACTGCTCCGCAAGAAAAAAAGAACACGTTATCAATACATGCAAGACATTGGGCAACATGATGAGACCTCCTCTACAATCCTCTACAATAAATAAATAAAAATTAGCTGGGCGTGGTAGCGCATGCCTGTAGTTCTGGCTACTTGGAAGGATCACTGGAGCCCAGCAGGTCAATGCTGGGGTGGCCATACGTGGGCCACTGCACTCCAGCCTGGGTGATGGAGTGAGACTCCAACTCAAAAAAAAAAAAAAAAAAAAAGAAATGAGGAAAACCTGAGTGAAAATAGTCAATCCCAAAAAGCTATATACCACATTATTCCTTTTATGTAATGTTGCTGAAGCGACAAAAGTATAGAAATGGAGACTATATTAGAAGTTGTCAAGAGCTTGGGAGGGGAGGAAGTAGGAAGGACATGAATGGGACTAGAAAATGACAAGAGGGATCCTTGTGGTGACAGAAATGTCCTTTATCTTGACTACATCAATGTCAATATCCTGGTTGTGACATTCTATAGTTTTACAAGATCTTACCGCTGGGAAATTCAGTAAAGGATACATAGAATCTCTTCGTATTATTTCTTACAACCGCATGTGAGTCTACAATTATCTTAAAATAAAGTATAATTTTAAAAATGAAAATTAAATAAAATATTTAAAATGGAAAAACAATAACTGGGAGGTCTTTGGATGCTACTGATACACTGACAGAGCTGAAATTCTTTTTTTTTTTTTTTTTTTTTTTGAGTTGGAGTCTCACTCTGTCACTCAGACTGGAGCACAGTGGCATGCTCACGGCCATCCCAGCATCAAATGCTGGGTTCCAGCGATCCTTCTACCTCAGCCTTCCAAGTAGCCGCATGCTACCATGCCTGGTCAATTTTTTTTTTTTTTGCTAATTTATTGTAGAGTTGAGGTCTTGCCAAGTTGTTCAGGCTGTTCTCGAGCCCATGGGCTCAGGCAATCCCCTCACCTCAGTCTCCCAAAGCGCCTGACCCAGAGCTGAATTTCAAACCCTGGTCTCCTTTCTTTTGGTTCAGAACTCTGCATTGGACTGTAATAAATGCCTGTTTAATTGAATGAAATGTATATAGCTCCCTTTTTTTTTTTTTTTTTTTTACATGTAAAGAACATTCTTGTTACACTAGCACAAGTTATCACTGGGTAGAGAGTAGAGAAAAGGTAGAAGAGGGTACTTTTAGCAACGGAATGAATAGGCTTTGTTCTACAACGAGTGAAAGGGATAAAATAAAGGGAACAGGCCTGCTCTGACATTTCCCAAACTTCACAAGTCCCTGACATTCCAGCCTTCTAGTCTTACTTTTGCACTCCTGTCTTTCATTAAAGAGAGTAGAAAAGTGCACCATATCCTAGATAAACATCCAGGTTTCTATGGTTTTGAAGGACAAATGTTCTCAGAAGTATCCTATTCCAGTCACTTGTGCAAAGCATCAGGAAAGAGCCACACTCCAGAAGCGACTGTTTCTGAAGGTGGTACATAAGTCATCACCAAATCAACTGAAAGTTATGGCAACAACCAGTACTAAAATAGGAATTTGAGAAAAGAGTTAAACACTAGGGTACTCAAACAAAACTCGTATATCATCCATAAAAAATATATATGATTTCAGCAACTATATAAAGTACCCACAGATTAAACAACATACTAGATATAGAATTCTCAAAATAAGAAAAGCCTGCACTGTTAACCATTACAGTCATTTTATTAATTTTTTTTTTTTGAGTTGGAGTCTCACTCTGTCGCCCAGACTGGAGTGCAGTGGCCGCTCCTGGCCACCTCAGCCTCGACCTGCTAGGCCCCGGCGACCATTCCGCCTTAGCCTTCAAAGTAGCTGGAACTACAGGCGTGTACTACCATGCCCGGCTAATTTTTGATTTATCGTAGATATGAGGTCTTGGCAAGTTGCCCAGGCAGTTCTCGAACCCATGGGCTCAGGCAATCCACTCACCTCATCCTCCCAAAGGCACGGGATTACAGGCTGAGCCATTGAGCCCAGCTTCATTTTATTAATTTTTAAGGAAAACAGACAAAGCAAAGTTAACCAATTTTATTTTTCCCCTGCTATCTACATATTTCAAACATGCTTTCAAGATAGGTGGTTGTCTGAAGTGATTGAAACATGACAGTAACCAGATGATCTTGACTTTTAATAAGAATTCTACCTGTCAGTCATGTCATCTTGGGAAAGAACATAACTCTTATCCCTACTTTTTCTTTTCTTCTTACATAGGCAAGTTGCTCATATGACTGTCAAAATTTGAAAATATAAAATGGACCCTGTTTATGAGTAAGTGGGATCAGCGTACAATTAAAAATTCAACACATGGATACGGTTCTTTCTCTTGCTTTGTGTTGTCTCATTATCCAACAAGCAAGATGAGTCACAGCTCCTTGGTTCTAGCCTTGGTGACTTCAACAAAATTTGATAGGAAACCATTGTGCAGACCCTTATTGTATACTGGTGTCCAAACAGGGCTCATTCTGATTGGTCTAAGAGACTGAGTCTGAGAAAGTAGGTTCCAGATAAGGGCTATGGGTATCACTTGACCTTCAGGGTTAATAGTTCTAGATAAAAGCTAAACCTTCAGAGTTAATAGTTCTAGATAAAAGCTAAACTGTCGGTAACAATCGAATTTCTCTAAGCTTCCACCGAGAAATTGGGAAGTTTAGTAAAATTGCTTTTCAACATCCAGGTGTATAAAGCAGGCTACATTTCACACACACTTTTGACACCTCAATATCACTGTAGTTTAGTACGCATAAAATCAATAGAAAAGCAACCTTTTAGCTTACAGTTATAGAGTATAGTATAGTATATTCTTTTCTAATTATTCCATTCGTCTGCCACTCAGGTTGACAACTTCATAAAACCATAGAAAATAATGACACCTAGTGTTCAAAAGTATTATTCTTCTTAGACTATGAGGTTATGATTGGTGAGGTCGTGAACAGACGGAGAAACTTGGAGTTGAGCTTGCACAGTTTTACAGAAAACATGTAAATGAAAACAGAATTTTTCCCTTGTCCACTAACAACAGAGGGGATTTTCCTACCATCTTCCTTCTCTCAAGCCTGCAATGAAGTCTCAGGTTTAGAGAGGTTGGTGCAAAGGCCATTATGACCTCACAGAGTTGGCAGCAGGGGTGACTCCAAGCAGCAAAACCACAACCCCAGTATCAAAACCCAAATAGAAAAAAAAATTATAACAAAAAATTTTGTTTTAATTAAAAAAAAAAAAAAAAAAGCAGGAGGCAGAAGGATCACCTGAGCCCAGGAGGTCGAGGCTGCAGTAAGCTGTGACATGCCACTGCACTCCAGCCTGGGAGACAGAGTGAGACCTTGACTAAAAGAAAAGAAAAAATGTCCAATGTGATGGGTCACACCTGTAATCCCAGCACTTTGGGAGGCCAAGGTGGGAGGATTGCTTGAGCCTAGGAGTTCGAGACCAGCCTGAGCAACACAGTGAGACCTCTTTCCTACAAAAAAATTAAAAAATTGGCCAGGCATAGTAGCACACATCTGTAATACCAGCTACTTGGGAGGCTGAAGCGGAAGGATCACCTGAGGTGAGAAGGTTGAAGCTGTGGTAGCCATGACTGTGCCACTGCACTCAACCTGGGCAACAGAGTGAGACTCCCCCCAACTCAAACAAAACAAAACAAAACACCTAAACAGAAGCAACCAAGCATCAACTTGGGAATGGGTTATATTCAAGCCCTGGTGAAAAATACAAAATATTCTTAGATTTCTGGTAAAACAGAATCACTAGTAGCTTTATTTAAACCAAGTTCAAAAAGACATCCTGTACAACATCCTGTTTACTGCAGGACTTGTCAGTGTGGTCACCATGCAGAGACTCTCCTTTCAGGGGCTGGACTCACCTCCGTGATCCTTTTCTTCAGGTTCTCCTTTCCCATGTATGAAGCCTGCAAGGAGATGACAGTCTCTTCCTTTTGAATCAAAGTTGTCAAGATACTTTTAAAATTCTGATATTGCTTTAAGAGCTCCAAAACTCTTTCACATTGTTCAAGACTATGAAGAGAGAAAGACAAAATAGCTAAGTGTCTGAAAATAACAAAACCGTCCTTTCTCTTTGTAAGTATTCAACATTAATGACCAGCAAGTTGTAAAAGGACTTTTCCTTTTAACGTGGTTAGTAATATTGTTTTACCAATTTAACCTAAGGATGATGGCACATCTATTTATCTGGCAAACAGACAGTATAATCACTGGATTAGTTCTGCCTCCATAGCAATATTCAAAAGTCACCTGACCAAGCGCAGTGGCTTACACCTGTAATCCCAGCACTTTGGGAGTCCAAGGCAGGATGATTGCTTTAGTCCAGGAGTTCAAGACCAACCTAGGCATCATAGCAAGACCTCATCTCTATAAAAAAATAAAATAATTAGCTGGGCATGGTGGCACGTGCCTACAGTCCCAGCTACTCAGGAGGCTGAGATGGGAGGATCACCTGAGCCCAGGAGGTCAAGGCTGTGGTGAATCGTGATTGGGCCACTACACTCCAGCCTGGGCAAGAGAGTGAGATCCTGACTCAAAACAAAACAAACCAAAAAATAGATCATCTGGGTGGGCCCAGTGTAGTCATAAGGGTCTCTCCAGGAAGAAGGGAGAAGGAGGTGTCAGAGAAGGATATGTGATGACAAAAGAGGTCAGAGTGAGATTTGAAGATGTTACGTTGCTGGCTTTAAAGATGGAGGAAGGGAACACCGGCCACAGCAGGTAAAAGGTCTCTAAAAGATGGGAAAAGACAGGGAAATGGATCTCTCCTAGAGCCTCCGGAAGGAACACAGCTTGATTTTAGGACTTCTAACCTCCAGAGATACAAGGTAATCAACTTGTGTTCTTCCAGAGTCAGAAAGTTTGTGATGATTTGCTACAGCAGCAACAAGAAACTAATACAAGATAACAGTAAGTATAAATATATTGTACTCTTTATTTTCTATCCCTCAAAGAGAACCTCTTAGGTACATTCAGGTGAAAACCTGCAATTCTGGATCTCGTCCCAGATGTTGGCTCTGTGTACTCCAGTGTGAAACCCTCATACTGACACCTTCATTAGGTCCGTGAGGATGTGCTTTCAACACACGCATTTCAAAACATTAATTGTGCTACAGACAATTTTTCAGATCCAGGAGGAATTATTTATTTTCTTACCATTCTGTGACCAAAGCTTTGGTATTTTCCCACAAGAGTATGGTATTTTGGCACTGTTGATTCAGGGTTTTTTCTCTGCCATCTTCGAAGTGTGGAAGAGAACTGGCCATGTCTTGTAAATGCTTCTTCTCTTCTTCATATTCATCTAGATCCTTATCCAGTCTGAGTAATGATTTCTTCCTGGATTATGAATGAGAAAAATTTGATAGCCAAGTGTCAACCAATTTGATTTGATACACATATGGGTAATTGGGGGAAGCACACTATTTCATTTGTCTCCATGAGGTTAATGCCAAAATTATACATTCCTATTACAGACAAAAGAGGTCAGAGTGAGATTTGAAGATGCTATGTTGCTGGCTTTACAGATAGAGGAAGGGAACACCGGCCACAGCAGGTAAAAGGTCTCTAAAAGATGGGAAAAGACAGGGAAATGGATCTCTCCTAGAGCCTCTGGAAGGAACACAGCTTGATTTTAGGACTTCTACCTCCAGAGATGTATTTTAAATAAATATATCAGGCCAGGTACAGTGCCTCATGCCCATAATCTCAACACTTTGAGAGGCCAAGGTGGGAGGATAGCATGAAGTCAGGTGTTTGAGATCAGCCTGGGCAACATAGCAAGACCGCATCTCTCCAAAAAAAAGTGTTTAATAAATACAATAAACATACTAAACCATGAAGAATAATATTTTTTTTTGTAATGAATACACTTATAAAAGATGTGTCTATGCACATAAGAGAAAAGAGAGAGAGAAAAGGAGTTTGTGTGTATATGAGTGGGAAAGAGAGCACAATAAGAAAAGAGAGATGGGTGATTGAGCACCACGCTCCTAAGAAAGGGTGGTGCAGCCAAGGCAAAAGGAAAAAGTGAGGAAAATCTTGCACCGTCCCCGATGTACAAGAAGCTCCCCCATGTCAAAAAGGAGTCCTTTAACTAAGAGATTAATGCCACTCACCTACATCTAAATTACTAAACTGCTCACAGCTTCTAGTTCTCTGCCTCCTGCTGGCAGGAGAGAAGCCCTTGCTTCACCTATTAGATTTGTGAAAATAAAGAAAAGTGCCACCTCGAATGGAAACAGATGGCAACAACTCTCACCGATGTTTCACAGCTGGAACAGTAGGATCCTTAAGGCCAATTTTACTGATTTGATGCTGCACATCTTGAATATTTTTAAGGAGTTCATTATTTTTCAGAAGACAAGCCTCTAGGAATTTGCTTTCCTCAGTGAGCTCCTCCTGGGCACTGCAGCCAAGGGTCTCAACTAACTTTATTGACAAAGCATCGAGAAGTTGTTCACAGGAGATGTCTTCACCCCGCTCAGCATCTTTAAAGCTCATATCAAGCATCTTCAACTGTTTATCCAAATGTCTGGCCTTGTCTTTCATCAGATAAATTTCTCCCTCTGTTTTTACCATCAAAGTACTTTCTGGGGCTACCTGTGTATCTGAGGCTGAAAGGTCTCTAATGGGTTCAACAGAGAATTTGGCTGTTCTGAGAGACGCCAAAAAATCTTCCAGAACTTTGAGGGCATCCTCCCTGGTCTGCACCTTGTGGTTCATTTCTTCAAGTTGTGTTTTATAGTTCAGTATAATATTCTGTGTTGCATGTAGATCACATGGGTGTAATTCCTTTAATACAAAGTTGTTCGGCTCTTCTAAATTGTTACATATTTCAATCTGCTTTGCTATGGAATCTTGGATATTCTAAAATAAAGGTAAGAAAAGTTGAAAAAAATTGAGGCAGAAAAAAGGAAGACTGCACATCAGAAACTAGTCCAAATTGCATGACCAGATTTGATCTAGAAACATGCTTTGGAGTTTAGCCAAAGGTAATAGTTTTGACATAAGGCAACATTTTAATTACAAATAATCAGATGTCCCAGTTGATGTTTCAATACCAAAAAGAAAGCAAGCACATAAATCTAATGCTTCAAGGCAAATAATGAGATTGAACCACTGAGAGATATGTTTTATAATCTGAAAAATAAAACAAATATTTTTATTTAAGATGGGACTTGGAATAAGAAAACTGTAGACTGTGCCAATTTAAGCATATGAATCTAGTATAATATTTAAGAATTCAGTCACTGAAGCAGGCATTCATAAACAAGGCTTAATTTTTAATTCAAACAAAAATACCCTATGATTTACTCCACAGTACCTACACCCAAATTGGCAAGGAATTAAAGAATTAGAAAGTAAATAACAAGTCCAAACTACTCCAAAGAACAGATTATTCTGGAAATATACTGTAAGAACGTATGTATTTACCCTGAGGTTTTGATAAATGCCATCAGCATCAATGAGACGAAATTCCTGGATGGCCACTTCCTGGAGAGGCAGGTCTGAGCCACAGAGGGCGCGTGATTCCTCCTCCACGGGGCACACAATCTGCAGCGCCATCTTCAAAGACTCCATCCTGGGTAAAGAATGAACCAGAAGTGAGGATAAAACACAGAAGAAAGGAATCCAATAACACTCGCTAACATAATTATTTAGCCAAGAACAGAAAATCATTATTCAATAAGCATACATATGATGATATATACAGATCATCACATTAAAGGCCAGGCCTGTTGATCCAAAATGCCAAAGAATGAGTTGTATACTATATCCAAATGCTCTTTTTTTGTTCATCCATCTATCCTTGTTTTTCCCCCTGAGTTGAAGCCTTACTCTGTGGGAGTACGGTGGCATGATTAAGGCTCACTATAGCCTCCCATCTCCTGGGCCTAGGCAATCCTTCCACTTCAGCCTCCCAAGTGGCTTGGACTATAAGAACGCACCATCATGCCCAGCTAATTATTTTCATTTTTTTGTTGAGACGAGGTCTCGTTATATTGCCCAGGTGGGTCTCAAACACCCGGGCTCAACCAATTCTCTTGCCTGGGCCTGCCAAAGTACCGAGATAACAGGCATGAGCCACAGGTCCAGTCCATCTATTCATTGATTCATTCATTCAACAAACATTTATTTAGAAAGAAATAGCAGAGCTAGGTTAACCATGACCCTCATTGGCCCAGGATAACCTCAGCTTTCTCCTGTTATTTTGATTTCATTATTAATGACTTCTCAGTCACTCTTAAAAGTGTCCCAATACCCAAGTACTCTTAGTTTAATAGATAAACACTGAATGGATAGTTGTTGTAAAACATACTTAGCCTTTCCTTCTCCTCTGAAATAAAAATACTAAACTGTAATTTAACTTTACCCTAAGGGCTAAGAAATTTCATAATTAATTTATCATAATTGTGAAATAATTTGCTATATTTCCATATTACTAATATGAAGACATAATGGGGTTCAAACACTAGGCTCTACTGATAATAAATTGAAATATGTAAATGTAGATAGGTAACATGTAGACTCTGAGCTTCAGTTTCTTCCTATGTGAAATGGGAATATGTACTGGAGATATACTTCCTATGCATATGAGGTAATAACAGCACTCTCATTTCAGAAATGAAGAAACCAGTGCCAGAAGAAACCAGAGGCTATGGGACTTGATCAAATTCATGCCCAAGAGGAGATGGTGGAAAGAGCATGGCCTCTGGAATTTGATAGACCTTAAGTTCCACTAAGTCTCCGGCTAGCAGTGTGACCTGGTTACATTACTTAAGCTCTGAGTGCCAGTCTTCTCATCAGTAAAACAGCAGTCCAAATGGTAGCCTTTCTTATGGTTACTGTGACAGTCAAATAAAATAACACCTAGTCTAATAACAGCCTGGCTGAAAATGGCATTTTAAAATTTAGCACATATATTAAACGAATGATTAACAGATCTCAGAATTATACCTGGCATTAAGAGTTATCTGAAGCTCTCTTTCTTCTTCTTTTAGTCTGTCTCTTTCCTTAACTATAAAATGCTTCTTGATGTCATCCACAAGATTTTCTAACTTCAGTGAAGTGATTTCAAACTCTTTCCAGCAAGCATCAGTTTCATTCTTTAAGTCCTAGATGGAATACATAAACTGATTTATCATCTAAAGGGTGAACAAGCACAATTATTCAGTTCTGACAAAATGAGATATTCACCAACCACTGGAGTAAACACAATGTTGAAAATGCATTTTAAAATATTTTGCAACCATCTACAAGTAAATTATCCTTTAGGGAACAATGATATTAACTGTGATCTCAGAGGACACATTCAGTAAAGTCAAGGGCGTCCACAATATGTCTTTCAAAGGCATCCAAACTCCCTTCCCTAAGGTAAATACACAAAATACAATTCAGAAAGATACATATAGATATAAGGACAGATATTCTATTTTCCATAGAAAGTAAATCTTTATTAACTTCTAAACTAAAAGAAAATTAGGGTGAAACAAAATTCTCTACACAAATAAGAAGTGAATGAAATTAATTTGTGGTTTATAATTAACATTTATAATTTTATATTATTCCAGCTCCTTATCTTGGTTCTTTTCAATTATTTATTTATCTATTTATTTATTTACTTTAAGACAGGATCTTATTCTGTCCCTAGGCTGGAGTGCAGTGGCACAATCATAGTTCACTACAGCCTCAAACACCTGGGCTCTGAAAGGACAGGCCGAGAGCGGGAAATGCATTTTTTTACCCTTCTTCCTAAATCTTAATACAATGATGAGAAAGTAGAAACTATGCTTTTGGAGAAATACACATTTTAAGTAAAAATTAACTTTGTGAACTTTGTCTTTTTAGGAACAGACTTCCTGGTGCCAGGTACTTCACAGTGTCAATCAATCTTGCCTAGAATAAAGGGAATTTACAAGGCCTAACATATCATACATTGGACAAGGACTGTAGAAGTCATGAAACTTGTAATTACAAAAGTTATAGCCCGCCCAGAGGGGGAGCGGGTGGGGACTCAATCTTCCAGTAGAAGAGGGTCCTATCTACAGGGAAGTCAAGGATCCCCCCCCCCCAAAGCTACTTACAGGGAATGTCTAGGAGATAAGGAGAAAGTGCACACTCCATTAGCTCCAAGGATGGGAAGATACAGGATTGGAATCCTTGTCACACTCTTCTCTAGGGGCTATGATAATGTGGGTAAACATTAATGAGTCTCTGTCTCACAGGATCTCCAAGACATCCACAGGTGGGCGATAAGAAAGTCACAGGCAGTCACGTGCAACATCTCCAAGGAAAGGATTTAAGCCAGGACTCTGGGGGACTATGATGCCACACTCACCTAGAGTATAGGCCCACTCCCTGTCTGTGGGGGTGAACTTTTCTTAAATAAATCTTTTCTTCTCTCATCTCTATGTGTCGCAATTCTTTGCATCTACTTGGATCTCTGGGTTGCCAGTGCACACCTCTGGCTTGCCAGCCCCGGCAGTGCTGCGCGCCTCACCTCACCTCTCCACCCTCACCTGGTCTGTCTGTACCCTGACAGGCTCAAGCAATCCTCCTGCCTCAGCCTCCTGAGTAGCTAGACCTACAAGCATGCACCACCACACCTAGCTCACTTTTAAATTTTTTGTAGAGATAAGGTATTGGTATTTAGTCTAGGCTGGTCTCGAACTCCTGGGCTCAAGTAATCCGCCTCAGCCTCCCAAAGTGCTGGCATTACAGGCATGAGCCACTGCGCCCAGACCTGGTTCTTTAGTCCTCTTCTTTTTTTCTTTTTCTTTTTTTTAAGGGCACTGCTACAGAACTGTACTGAGGGATCAGTAGTATAATTTGTTCTCCACTTTCCCCAGTGATTATTATAGTTTTTCTAACCAACTCATTATTCAAGCCTGGGGAAATGTCTCAAGACAGTTTCTTAACTATGATGAAAACATGCTAATTCCATCACTTGAACAGGGATTTTAGCATATAAATGTTGCTTATTCAGATAAAAAACAGAGAGGAGCCAGATGGTAGAGACCTGACATAATGAAATGAAGGAAACTAGAAAGTTTGGGAGGAACTTGCAGAAACCACCCAAAGCCCTTTCCATCACCTGTGAGGGTCCCACCGATGAGCTCACAAGCATGCAATCAGATGTTGTGTCGCAATACAGATCATGGAAAGTAAGGAAGACAGAACTTGCAATCTGGCTGTTTGTTCTGGTGTTCCTAAGTCAACTGCAGTACTTTCCCTGAAAGGCTTTTTAGGAAGATGACTCACCCTTTAGAGTAAACTCTCCTTCCACTGCCTGTCACTTACGGCCCAACATTAGGCAGTCTACAATGGACGACCATCAGTTCTAGACAATGTGACCATTTGGTCGAGATGATAAATGACTGAAACAAATATTCAGTCACTGGTTCACTTATTTTAGAGCAATGCAGGAGCAGGTTGAAAATGCTTCAAGCAGCCGGGCTCGGTGGCTCAGCCTATAATCCTGCGCCTTTGGGAGGCTGAGGTGAGTGGATTGCCTGAGCCCGCGGGTTCGAGACCCGCCTGGGCAGCAAGACCTCATCTCTACAATAAATCAAAAAATCAGCTGGGCGTGGGAGCGCATGCCTGTAATTCCGGCTATTCGGAAGGCTGAGGTGGAAGAATAGCTGGAGCCCAGCAGGCGAGGCTGCGGTGGCCGGAAGCGGCCACTGCACTCTAGTCTGGGTGACCGAGTGAGACTCCAACTCAAAAAAAAAAGAAAGAAAATGCTTCAAGCATATTGTTTTTGACCAATTCATCGGAAACTCCAAGTGCACACACACACCCACATACACACACAATTCTTTAAGCCCTGATATCTGGAGGACCAGATTGGAGCAAAAGCAGGACATGAGGATCCTATACCTAAATTTTTCCTGGGCTTAGTACCTTAAAGAGGATCACTAAGATCAGGCACAGTGGCTCAAGCCTATAATCCCAGCACTTTAGGAGGCCGAGGTGAGAGGACTGCCTAAGCCCACAGGTTTGGGACCTGCCTAGGCAACTTAGTGAGACCTCATCTCTACAAATTAGTCGGGCGCGGTGGTGCGTGCCTGTAGTTCCAGTTATTTGGAAAGCTAAGGAGGAAGGATCACCTGAGCCCTGCAGGCTGAGGTTGCAGTGGCTGTGAGTGTGCCACTGCACTCCAGCCTGGGCAGCAGAGTGAGACTCCAACTCAAAAAAGAAAAAGAAAAAGTAAAAAAAAAAAAAAGAAAGAAGATCACTTTCTGGGATAGGGTGACATCAGAAACACAATCCAACAAGGGATTCTTTGGAAACATTTAGCATATATGACCGTAACAAAAATGGTGATATCTATATGTACAGTAGTATTATTTTCTAATAAAAGAGATAACTAGAGAAATAATATTTTTAGCAATTACCTGTAGATCTATCAGTTTATCCTGCAGACAAGAACTATCTCTTTCCTTTTCAGGAGAGAAATCAGAAATAACCCTGGATTTGTTGTTTTGCAGGTGTAGTTCAAGAATCTCTCTGTGTGTATCATATCTGGGAGAAAATTTAATACATTACAATACTTAATTTTTAAAATAAGACAAAAAATTTTTTTGAATTAGCATCAATTGTGCATAAGGAAATCCCATGGAATTTCTGTTTAAGTTACTGGATCATACACTAGACTAATGGAAAACAGAACTTTTAAAAAGTATAATGTGTTTGCATTCTTGAAAAGTTTTGGGGTGGGTTTTCCAGTCATATAAAGAATTTACCTCTCTAGTAAACTGTTTATAGATGCACCAGGACCCTTTTCATACTTCTCCATAATGCTTTCTTCTTCTTGAGGCTTTTCCTCTGATGCCAGGCTAAAATTTGTAATGGGTTCCATTGCCTAAGCAAATATGCAAAGTAGTAAATATAATATCTCAAATACGCTTAATCCTGAAAAGGATAAATACTTTATCTTCAAAGATGTACCATTGATTCTTTATACTCAAAACCAGGAGATACTACAATTTCTCTGAGATAGCTCAGAGAAAAGCATTCCCATAGAACTGTGGAGATTGATTAGACTGAGTCTCACCTTCTAATTGGCATGGCCACCTGGCAGAGGAATGCTTCCAGTCCCAAATGGTGTTTCTGCCTGAGACCACACAGCCAAAATCAAAAGCAGACAGAAGCCCAACAGGTAGGAGCAGACTTCGGAAAACAAATACACCTTGCTCCTTCCCACATATCCTAACTGGCAGTCTGGGCTATGATCTAGAGTAACTGCCAAATGACCTAGATTTCAAGAATTTAGAAAATTCAATTCTCAAGGAAATAGAATACACTGTAATGAGGAAAAGGCCAAGGCAAATGATGAACTTGTTCATTTCAATGCAACTGAAGCATCCAAACAGATCAAGCTCAACAACACTGTACACAGACAACGTGCACCTATGATGGTTCAAAGCGGTCTCTGAAATAACTGTTTGTATACTTCGAGGAAGATTAGGTTATGTTCACTCTAGCTTTGTCTGATCACATTCTAATGCTCTGAAAACCAGTCTTCCTTGCATCATATAAGTGCAGTTTTCCCTTGATGAGAACAATTAGATAATTAAAGCCACAACTAACTAACGAGAAGTGAATTACTGAAAACTTGGTCTTTTACAGTGGGTTGACTTCTGAAACACATTATCCGCATGTAACACCTTTTTGGTTGATGGCTGATTGTCCGATTTGGCAAATGGTACCTCACTATGGGAATCTCTTCCTGTATCCTCAGATGTGGTCATGGTCCCCCTAGGAAGGAATCAAAATGCATATTAAAATAGAGTAAGAGAAAAACGAAACCTCAAAGAGAATGAATAATGCTTGATGCCATTTGGTTTTGCAAAAGGCTGCGTTTCTTGTTACCCTGAAGCATAGCTACTCTCATGAAGTACTAACTCGTTTTTCAATGGGCCTCCCAGTGCGGACCGCAGTGTGATGTGAATCTCAGAAGCACATTTAAGAAGTCTTTCTATCTTTTGCTCGTAATCTCTGAGTAGTCTCTTCACTTCCTGTTGCTTCTTCTGTGAAGTCAGTTCTTCACATAGCCCCCTCAGGGCATCCATGTGGTGACGAAGCTGGGACAGACTGCCTTCCTCAGAAAAGCAAGCCTAATTAAGAAAACAAAGCAGGAAATGTGCTTCACATGAGTTTCCATGATTATTCCATAAGGATTACAAACAAACAGATGTGTGTGACTTGAACAACGCCTTCTTTCATAGGCCATCTACTGTGTGCTTGGTATGACAATAAGCGAAATCGGGAAAAAAAAGATGAGGGCCAGGCGCAGTGGCTCAAGTCTGTAATCCTAGCACTTGGGGAGGCTGAGGTGGGAGGATATCTTGAGCCCAGGAGTTTGGGCAACACAGCAAGACCTCATCTCTACAAAAAAAATTTAAAAATTAGCCAGGTGCAGTAGCGTTGTGCCTATAGCCCCAGTTACTCAGGGGCCTGAAGCAGAAGGACTGCCCGAGCCCAGGAGGTCAAGATGGCAGTGAGCCATGATCTTGTCACTGCACTCCAGCCTGGGCAACAGAGTGAGATCCTGACTCAAAAAAAAGAAAAAAAGAAAAAAAGCTGAGGGAGTCTGCCCTAAAGGAATCTGCAGTTCAGTAAGATAGACACACAAGTAACCAGCATATACTGTGACATGAGTTGTGACAGAGACACTCCCTGCCGTAGGGTGTTAGAGGAAGCCGAGTCACAAGACAGAGTCATCTGAGCTGGCTGCAGAAGGAACAAGTATGGGCACTCCAGGTAAAAGGGGAGAGAGGCCATTTCTAGCAGAAGGACCACCAAGAGGAGGAAAAGCACCAGATGTGCTGAAAGGACCAGTAGGCTGGTGGGGTTGGGGTCCCCCCCATAGGAGAAGAGACACTAGAGGGGTATCCTGGGGCCACACTGTGAAGGAATGGAGTGACCATCTAAGAAGTCTGGAATTGTCCTGAGGACATGGGGAGCCAGTGACATAAGCTCTGTGGTTCACAAGGAGAACCCCCATAGTGGGTATCGAAGATGATGCAACCATGACCAGACCAAGAAAACAACCCTGGCTTGGGTAAGCAGCATACTCGTGGAAAGGACAGAAAGAAGACGCTTTTTTGCCAAGGGAACTTGGCAACGGGCTCGATTAAGGTGGAGTGGGAAGGAAGGGGAAGGATAGGAAGGGTGTTGTGAGACAGCAATGACTTTCAGTACCAAGATGCAGAATATAAGAGGACGTAAATCTGAGAAGAGAGTGTATGGGTGCAGTTCTGAGCAGGCTGAACTGGAGTTCTCTGAAGACCACTGGTGACACCCACTAGTCAGTCAGCAATAGAACATGGGATGCAGGGAAAAGGACTCAGCAGGAGACACAGACTCAGGAACTTGCATGGGAGAGAAGGAAGGTAAGACCCCAGAGTACATAAAATCACCTAAAGGAAGCATGAAATTAGCAAAAACAGAAGCCTCCCTGACCAGAACATTCCTTTTTTCCTCTTTTTTATACTGAGGCCACTATTTTTTTTCTCTCTCTTTTTTTTTTGAGTTGGAGTCTCACTCTGTCGCCCAGACTGGAGTGCAGTGGCCACTCCCGGCCACCGCAGCCTTGACCTGCTGGGCTCCGGCGATCCTTCCGCCTCAGCCTTCCGAGTAGCGGGAATTACAGCATTGCTACCATGCCCAGCTGATTATTTTATTTTATTGTAGCGATGAGGTCTCGCTGCCCAGGCGGGTCTTGAACACGCAGGCTCAGGTAATTCACTCATCTCAGCCTCCCAAAGGCGCAGGATTACAGGCTGAGCCACCGAGCCCGGCTTTTTTTTCTCTTTTTTTCCCCTCTTTCTGCTTCACTTTGAAGAGTTTCCATTGCACTCTCTTCAAGTTTACGGATATTTTCTTTTGAAACTGCCAACTTTTTGTTTTGTCTACCTAATTATTCATTTCAGTTAATATATTTTTCAGTTATAAGGTTCCCATTTCTTTCCTTTTTAAATAGTTATCATTTCTCTGCTGAAATATCTATTCACTTAGTATATGCATATTTTTTCCTTTATACTTTTGAACACATTATTAATAGTTATTTCCAAGTTTAATAATTTTGGTGCCATCTCTGGGGTCTATTTCTATTGACCATTTCCTCCTGTTTGTGTTACATATTCCTGCTTTTTTACACATCTAATAGTTTTTTGCTAAACATTATTGACGCTAGTTGAGAATCTGGAATTTGTTGTCCTTCTTTTAAGAAGAGTATTGGGTATTATGCTGGCAACCAGTTAATAACTTAATTTTTTTTTTTTTTTGAGTTGGGGTCTCACTCTGCTGCCCAGGCTGGAGTACAGTGGCACAGTCATGCTCACTTCAGCCTCAACCTCCTGGGCTCAGGCGATCCTTCCCTTCAAGGGGAACTACAGGTGTATGCCCCCATGCCTGGCTAACGTTTAAATTTTGTATAGAGACGAGGTCCCATTGTGCAGCCCAGGCTGGTCCCGAACTCCTGGGCTCAATCAATCCTCCTGCCTTGGCCTCCTAAAGTGCTGGAATTACAGGCATGAGCCGCCGTGCTCAGCTGACTTAATTTGCTATTAAGATAAGAGAATAAAAAGGGAAATCTGTGGAGGAGACTAAAAAGAAGGGTCCGCTGCCAGTTCTGTATACATACTCAATAGATCAATATGGGGGAGTCACAGCAGTAGAACATTTAAAAGAAATGAAAAGAGGGGTCAGTACAATGAAATACAGAAAAGCAATCAGACAGGATGAAGACCAAAAAGAGATCATTAGATTTGCCCCAGTTGCTTTACATCCTGATTTGCTAGTTTTCTCAAAAGCAATGCTTCTGAGGACACCATGTCCTGACAAAAGTAACTGTGGGTACTTTGGTAACAGTTGACACGTTCATGACCAGAGTCTCAGAACACGGCCATGGAGACATGTCAAGGGAAATCATGAAATATTAACTCAGTGCTGAATTTTCTCACTTCTAAAACGCACAGGCTCTGGTGAAAGCTTGAACCACAGAAGTGCTTGCCCCAGGGGATGAGAGGGCTGAGGTAATTTTCAGAACAGATTGGTTCCAGGCTAAAGGCACACACAACCATTAAAGAGAATCCCGAAAATAATGACAAAATTAAAGTGGAAACAGAGTGTTGTACCTCATGTTCCTTGATGAGACCCTTGGTCCTTCCTCTCCGAATAAGTTTCTTTTCTTTATTTATTTGCTTTTCAAGTTTTGAAATATTGTCATTAAGCTTTCCTTTTTCAATATCTATTTTTAGTTGCTGAACATACAATGACAGCTCCTGATGAAGAGACTGCAAAAAACAAAGGGATATTTTAATAATGGGAAGAGAATATACTAGAAAAGTCTTTGCATAACAATAAAAACATGCATAGGAACAAAAGCACAGAAGTAGGGTCTCATTCTGACTCATTCACGTATTTTGGCCGGGATGATTTAAAACATCCCGGAAGCTTAAATGTGTATGTTTTTTTTCTTTCTAACAACTAAAAATGTATTTTAGCTGCAAAAGATAACCGTTAAAAAAAAAATGAAAAGACAAGCTACAGATTGGAAGGAACTGTATGCAAAACACACATCGGAGCCAAAGGAGACATAAGCACATGGAATGTGCATCCTGGATAGAATCCTGGAACAGAAAGAAAGAACATTTGGGGAAAACTGTAAAAATCTAAGTAAATGCTTTAGTTAACAATAATATATTACTATTGGCCCAATAATTATGTCAATGGTAAGACATTAATAACAGGGAATTTGGGCACAGAGTATACAGAAACTCTCTGGACTATCTTTGCAATAATTTTGTAAATCTAAAACTGTTCTAAAATATAAGTTTATTTTATTTTTTGTTTGTTTGGCTTTTGAGACAGGGTCTCACTCAGTCGCCCAGGCTGAAGTGCAGTGGTGTGATCATAGCTTACTGCAGCCTTGAACTCCTGGGCTCAAGCAATCCTCCTGCCTCAGCCTCTGGAGTAGCCAGGACTACAGGCACATACCACCATGCTTGATTAATTCTTAAAACTTTTTGCAGAGATGGCGGGGAAGCTTTGCTGTGTTACCCAGGTTGGTCTTGAACTCCTGGCCTCAAATGTGCTGGGATTACAGGCATGAGCCACCATGCCTGGTCTTAACAGTACCTATTCAATTCTATACCATACACATATATAGATAAATATATACACATACATTTTAAAATTTAATTACCATTTATTTATTAATTATACATTTTGATAATTAGTTACCACTCAATATTAATTACGAGAACACATTCTCAGTGGTAGAGGCTTTAGATAAATCCTCGCAACAATCCTGCCATATAAGTGGTGTTATTCCATTTTATCGAAATGGTTCCTGTAAGTTAAGTACCTTGCCCCGGGTCAAGGCTGATGAATTCGGGTTTGTCTGCCATCAAAGCCCATATCCAATTTGCTATGAAACCTGAGCCCATGGCCTACAGGGTCAGCCCATTGGTAATACAGAGAATCCCAGGGGAACACCAGGAATGACTGACAACTAACAGGCCCTGAGCAGTCCTACAAGCATAAACCCAGATACACAGGCATGCCCTTACCTCCCACTTGGCACAGACGTCTCTACTCTTATCTTCCAAAGACATCTTTTCGTCCTCAGTGACATTATTTTTTAGTTCTTCAACAGCTTTCAGATACTTGGCCAGACTTTTTGTATTAGAAATTATTAGTGCTTCCTAAAAAAAAAAAAGCAAACAAGACCCTGAAAACCTCATTCTCCTGTCAAATTCCCAAAGCTAATTTTGGTATGTCTTTATAGGTGAATGAGGAAGGTTCTCTCTGAAAACTGTTTGAAGATTTATGGGAGACTTCTCTTGGTCAGTTGAGGTTGCTATCCCTTTTGCCTGGGTTAAACTCTTTATTTATTTATTTATTTTTTAGAGTTGGAGTCTCACTCTGTCGCCCAGACTGGAGTGCAGTGGCCGCTCCCGGCCACCGCAGCCTCGACCTGCTGGGCTCCGCGATCCTTCCGCCTCAGCCTTCCAAGTAGCTGGAACTATAGGCAGGCACTACCATGCCCGGCTAATTTTTTATTTATTGTAGAGATGAGGTCTCGCCAAGTTACCCGGGCGGGTCTCCAACCCATGGGGTCAGGCAATTCACTCATCTCGGCCTCCCAAAGCCCAGGATTACAGGCTGAGCCACTGAGTCCGGCCAAATTCTTTTGAAAAGAGTTGCAAAATGTTTATTATTCAAATGTAGCTACACACTTGAGGTCAAGGTTGAGAGATCCCTTCATGATAGGCAAAATGATTTTGTTACCCCACTGATACATAATTTAAAGGCTTACTGTGCAGAGTGTTGAGTCACTGGTAGTATTTCCTCTACCGTTCTTTTTTTCTTTTTTTTAAGTCAGGGTCTCACTCTGTTGCCCAGGCTGGAGTATAATAGCTCAATCATGGCTTACCACAGCCTCAACCTCCTAGACTCAATCCTTCTACCTCAGTTTCCCAAGTAGCTGGGGCTCTAGGTATGTGCTACCATGCCCAGCTAATTTTTTTACCTCATTTTGTAGAAATGAGAACTTGTGATATTGCCCAGGCTGGTCTTGAACTCCTGGGCTCAAGTGATTCTCCCACCTGGGCCTCCCAAAATACATGAGACACCATGCCCGGCCTGAAGTTCTTAAGTATTAAGAAGTCAACCATACTTCATAAGCAATACAATACAAAGAGCATATCAGCAAGTATCAGAGATTAGTGTTGCAGTAAGACAAAACACAGAGCAGGGTTATAGTTAATATTTAACATTGTACAGAAGCCTTGTGGTGATACCACCAGGAAGTCATACTCTCTCATCAGCAACTTCCAAGTTGTTCCTAGGACCAGCCACATTGGCTGTCCCACCCAGCAGTAGACAGGGATTGGGACAGCATTGGCAGGAATGTGTCTGCCCTTACCCAGCACCCTCTTTAAGAGCAGAAACCTGCCCTAAGGGAATGAATAAATGACAGAACAACAACAACAAAAGGTCAGCGCCTGTGAAAGAGGCAGAAAACCCACAGGAGAGAGAAGATGAAAGCAATTCCCAGGGAGGAGGCAATGCAGCATGGTGATCATTCATTCATTCATTCACTTGCTGCACATCTGCTCTGAGCCTGCTGCAGGCTAGGAATGATGCCAACCTCTGGGAACCTCCTGCACAGCCTCCTTGAAGGGTGCCAGCTTGACGACCTACGGAGATACCCCAACCCCATATGCTACTGGGGAGCGTCCAATTCACTAAATGCCAGAGATAAATAGGGAGGAATCCAAAAGGGAGATGGTCAGGGAGAGGAACACGGCGTGCAACTGATACCTCCAACCCTTCTCCCTGGGAAGAAGCAGCCCAGGAACCTCGATTTTTTTCTTTCTCCCTTTCCTAAGTAGAGTGTATCTACCCTTCTAAAATCAAATCTAGCCATTATTTAAGAACCATTGATTCTTAAGGTCAATTTGGCCAGTAACCTGAAGTAAAAGTGGGAACAAAAAGACAAGGAAAATTAGTGGAAGTTGGTGACTAGTGACAGGAGATCAAGCATGTGAGGGCTTCTGAGGCAGTGGGAAAAGCAATGCTGAAACAGTTAATTGACCAGACAGGGTGGCTCATACCTGTAATCCCAGCACGTTGGGAGGCCAAGGCAGGATTGCTTGAGCCCAGGAGTTTGAGACAAGCCTGGGCAACATAGCAAAACCTTGTCTTTACAATAAATCAAAAAAGTAGCTGGGTATGGTGAGGCACGCCTGTAGTCTCAGCTACTTGGGAAGCCTAGGCAGAAGAATCACCTGAGCCCAGAAGGTTGAGGCTGTGGTGATCTGTGATTGTGCCACTGCAATCCAGCCTGGGTGACAGAGTGAGATCATGACTCAAAAAAAAAAGAAAAGAAAAACCAACAACAACAACAAAAAATCCCAGCTGGTAACAGAGTCCAGCATGGTTACCAATCTAGAAAGCCAAATTAGGGCCCTTTTCATAAAGTGGGGAGCAGCAGGACTGGGAACCTCGCCTTACTGCATCTCTGGCTCACCCAAATGTCCAGCTCATCCTGTGTGCTAAATGCTGAATCAATAAATGAACAACAGAACATACATTACTCTTACTTCTCCAATTTGTCTCAGGGTAGGGACATTGCTTAGCTTTACGTCTAATTCCCCCAGCACTTCCCACTGTGTAAATTCATTGTAAGTCTCTGGTTTGGTTTGGTTAAATTGCTTTTTTGTTGTTTGGTTGTTTTTTTTTTTAGAAATAGGGTCTTGCTCTGTCACCAGGCTGGAGTGCAGGGGCATGATTATAGCTCACTGCAGCCTCAACCTCCTGGGCTCAGGAGCCTCAACTCCTGGGCTTCTGCCTTAGCCTCCTGAGTAGCTGAGACTACAGACACGTGTCACCAAAACTGGCTTATTTTTGTATCTTTTTTGTAGAGATGGGGTCTTGCTATGTTGCCCAGGCTGGTCTAGAATTTCTGGCCTCAAGTGATACCCCCACCTTAGCCTCCCAAAGTGCTAGAATTACAGGCATGAGCCATCATACCCAGCCTGGTTTGGTTACATCTTAAGCTGTAACCAGCTACCTATCAAACCATGAAAATCAACCAGAAACTGACCCCATCTAAAATGACGTTGTGGATCTCTAACTACAAATAAGTATGTCCATAAATAACTTTGATCAAAGCATTTAAGTAATAATAGTATTCTTTTACAGAAAATTTTATATGCAAAGTGGCTTCACATGCCTTATTTTAATTTAAAGCCTCTAAACAAATCTGGTAGATGGATAAGCCTGGAATTATTATGCCCATTTTACTAAGAAAAAAAGCCAGAGAAATTAAATTCTTGTTCAATGTCATACAGTTAGCTGTGCTCTTTACACTTTATCCCTGAGTACATTCAGCAAGTCAACAATAAAATTTGAGTTACAAAATTCTTCATTTGAATATTTTTATTGGCCTCAGGGGAACAATGTATAATACTTTTTAAAGTTATAGTAACTTGGCGGGGCCCAATGGCTTACGCTTATATCCCAGCATTCTGGGAGGCCAAGGTGAGAGGATCACTTGAGCCCAGGAGTTCAAGATCAGCCTGGGCAACATAGTGAGATCCCATATCTACTTTTAAAAAACAGCTACAAGCCGGGCTCAGTGGCTCAGTCTGTAATCCCGCGCCTTTGGGAGGCTGAGGTGAGTGGATTGCCTGAGCCTGCGGGTTCGAGATCCGCCTGGGCAGCGAGACCTCATCCCTACAATAAATCAAAAAATCAGCTGGGTGTGGTAGCGCATGCCTGTAATTCTGGCTACTCGGAAGGCTGAGGCGGAAGGATCGCCAGAGTCCAGCAGGTTGAGGCTGCGGTGGCCGGAAGCGGGCACTGCACTCCAGTCTGGGCAACAGAGTGAGACTCCAACTCAAAAAAAAAAAAACAGCTACAGTAACTTTGTATATAATTACAATAAAGGAAACATCTTGATTTCAAACATGACATGTAGCTAATGATACATATCCTATATTTAATGGTTGAAAGGAGTCCCACCTTGTATTTTGAAATGAGTCCCCTTGGGTTCTCTCTTTTCCCAAGTAACTGCTCAGCCCTCGTAATGTAGGCTTCAAGTTCCTTCTGGGATTCTTCCATCTTCAGTCTGACATCCAGTTCTGGGGAAACGTCAGTTGAGTTCTTCAATACAGCAGTGAGTTTTATCACATTGATCTTAAAGACAAAAAATTTCTCAAATTAATACTTGGTCCAACTTCTTCATAAATTCATAAGTTAAAGACTACTATTTTCTCACTAGACAAAGAAATACCGGATTTAATATATGCTTTCCAACGTGCTCTAAATTACAGAGGAAAAAAAAGATGCAAAAGTAATATTTTACAAACCATTTCCAAGCTGCAGGGCTATCATCTCCTTCACCACCCACCCGCTGACCATTCAGATTTTAAGAATAGATTCACTAAACAGGGAATACTAAAGAGAGACCTGGACTTTCTCTTTCGCTTCTTGAATCTTTGCCTGAAGCCCAGCCGTGAGCACGTGTTGAAGAGAGTCTTGGCTTGAAATATTTTGTATATCCATTTGTAAAGTATCTTCCGTTCTAGCCATAAGTTCATCATACATAGAGCCCTTGGCGATGAGATGCTATTAAAACAAATCAAAGTGAGATCACAAGAAACATTCTGATTCTATGAGAAACATTAATCATAACAATCTCATCAGTAAACCCAAAAAGTTCATCTAAAATCAGACAGATTTGTATTCAGAAAAACGTTACTTTAAAAATTTATTTTGAGGCCAGGCACGGTGGCTCAGTCTGTAATTCCAGCACTTTGGGAGGCCGAAGTGAGAGGACTGCCTGAGCCCACGGGTTTGAGACCAGCCCGGGCAACTTGGTGACACCTTGTCTCTACAATAAATCAAAAAAATTAGCCGGGCATGGTAGTGTGCACCTGTAGTTCCAGTTACTTGGAAGGCTGATGCAGAAGGATCGCCTAAGCCCAGCAGGTCAAGGTTATGGTAGCCATGAGTGTGCCACTGCACTCCAGCCTGGGCAACAGAGTGAGACCCGAACTCAAAAAAAAAAAACTTTATTTTGAAATGTTATATGAATACAATCAGATTCTGAACAACATGTTCTTTTATATTCTTTACACAGTAAGTACTTCAATAAGATTAGAAGTAATAACAATGTCAAAAGAAAATAAGTTGAGAGAATATTAATAAATCATAAAATGAAGTTATTTTAAGTCAAATTAATGAGGAAGGTAATTCAATAAACGCTAGTGGAAAAAATAGCCATTGGAAAATAAAACCTCATGCTTTATACATACAACATACCAAAAATAAGTTCCAGATAGATGAGAAAGTTATATGTAAAATATGAAACTACAAAAAGAGGATATTGCCTGGGCACAGTAGTTCACACCTGTAATCCCAGCACTTTGAAAGACCGAGGCAGGAAGATTGCATGAACTCAGGAGTTTGAGACCAACCTGGGGAACATAGCAAGACCTTGTCTCTACAAAAATTTTTTAAAAAATAAGAAATCAAAAACATTAACCAGATGGGGTGGCACATGCCTGTAGTCCTAGCTACTCAGGAGGCTAAAGCGGGAAGATTGTCTGAGTCCAGGAGGTTGAGGTGGTGGTGAGCCATGATCATGCCACTGCACTCCAGGCCTGGGGGACAGAATGAGACCCTGACTCAAAATAATTTGATTTTATGTCTACTCTGTACAAGGGCCTGCACTAGGAGCTGTGGATAATGTAGGATCAAGACAAAGTCAGTTATTTGTATATCCTTACAGGTATCTGTCCATGGTTATAAATGATTAGTGTAGAAATACACAATTCTGTTTTCAAAAACACAAATGAGATCACATTACCCATCCTGTTCAGCAATTTGCATTTCATACTTTGGAAGACATCTTGAGCCAACATTTTGATCTAATGGACATCTCCTTAAATTCTTCTTAATAAAAATATATTTTAGTATATCTGTATTTTCACAACGTTTAGGTTACCTAAAAAATTGTCTCAAATATTGAATTTCTGCCTCATTTTTTCACTAAAATAAATTCTAGATAGAACAAAAAATAATAATAAAAATAAACTTAGGAAACCATTGGCAGACGGCATGGTAAGTTTATATAATATTTTCAAAACAATAAAAACTACCATTCTTATAAACAATGAAAACACAAAATGCTGAAATATATACCTTTCAGAAACGTAGGCTTAGAAAAATTATGTAGATGTTCCTTTATTCCAGGCACTTTCCAACTTATTCTAACTTAGGATACACGCCATGGGTTTTATAGCTGAGCTGGAGCTCAGTACAAACCTCAACGATAACTCCTCTCCCAAGGGAACTAAGTGATACAAAGGCACACTCTTGCCTCATTGCTTTTCAGTGAGTCAACTGCCTGAGAATAAAGACAGAGTGGAGTTCTACCAACATTAGTCACCCTCTCTGCATCAAGGAAGGAGGGAAAAGTGGCTTACTCAGTGGGTGATCTTTCAAAGCATAGACTGTGTAATGTCATATTCGCACAGTCCAGAGCGACACTCACTCATTTCCTCCTCACCCTCTGATGCAAGAGAATCGTTTCATCCTCATTCTCTAGCTGGGAAAATAAGTCCAAGATCTTAACTCTCGTAAGGTATTATTAGTGGTCTCCTAATTCATCCTCTGCCTTTGGGCAAAATCACAGCAAATGAGGCAGGGATGAAAATTCGTTCATTTTTTAAAATTCCCAATAAAGCAAATTAAGACTGTGGGCTTATTACTATTGACTTTAAAACTTCTGTTTATCTTAAAACATAAGTCCACAAAACAGAACCATGAAAGGATGTTCTTAATACTTTTATACTCATACCTGCAAAGATTCTTTCACTGGGGTATCCACATCTTCTTGATGTCTCAGCAGATCCAAGACAGATTTGCTTTCTGCCTCCCAGATTTCCACTTGTTCAATGAGTTTTTCTACCTCTTCTGTCACTTTCAGTTGCCCTGTGAATTCTTTGATTTCTAGTTCATGCTTGCCAGCCTACAACATTCAAAATTATCACTAAGAAAATGTAAATGTGCACATTATGCAATATATTTGCATTTCAAAAAGTTACACATTTTCTTTCCTGAAAGGTGTTAATTCAACATATTTTAATAATATAAGATCTAGGTTTTCTGTTGTTGTTGTTGTTTGAGTCAGAGTCTCACTCTGGTACTCAGGTTGGACTAAAATGGCACATGCTGGGCTCAGACAATCCTTCTACCTCAGCCTCCTGAGGAGGTGGGACTACAGGCGCACACTGCCATGTCTGACTAATTTTTTTATTTGTTGTAGAAATGAGTTCTCAGCATGTTGCCCAGGCTGGTCTTGAACTCTGGGCTCAGGCAGTTCTCCTACCACGCCCAGCTGATTTTTTTAATTTATTGTAGAGAGAAGGTCTTGCCACGTTGCCCAGGCGGGTCTCAAACCCGCGGGCTCAGGCAATCCACTCACCTCAGCCTCCCAAAGCGTGGGATTACAGATTGAGCCACCAAGTCTGGCTCCTTAAAGTTGTTTTTAATCAGACAACATTTTTATTTTTTTGAGTTAGAGTCTCGTTCTGTTGCCCAGGCTGGAGTACAGTGGCACAATCATGGCTTACTGCAGCCTTGACCATCTGGACCCAAGTGATCCTCCTGTCTCAACCTCCCAAGTAGCTGGGACTACAGGCATGTGCCACCACAGCTGGCTAATTTTTTTATTTTTGCAAAGATAAAGTCTCACTCTGTTACCTCAGCTGGTCTCAAATTCCTGGGCTCAAGCGATCTTCCTACCTTGGTCTCCCAAAGTGCTAGGATTACCGGCGTGAGCCACCACACCTGACCCAGATCACATTTTAAATGCATAAGAAGACTATAATACTTTAAACCATCTTGCACAAATTTAGATCTTTCTAGATTCTCTGAGTAGGCATTCTTATGGTGGGAAAACACTGGTATCCGTCATGGCAAGAGACCAGAGCCAGTTAAGAAGTACTTTAAGTAAAGCTGTGTAAGTTGTTATTCTGAAGGAGGCACTTTTCCAAAGCCGTAAGTATGATATCTTACAAATATATTTGTTTTTGCTCCTATTCCATATTCTTACCTACAATCTGAAGTCATCATTCAAATGACCAACAAAAATTATATTCCCTTCATTTTACAGAAAGGAAGCAAGACACACAGAGGCCAGGGGCTAGCCTAAAGCTAGATAATTTCTGAGCACTAGTCAGAAGTAATCGCAAGAAGGTACTGACTCAGTTTGTACTGCTCAGTCAGGACTGTTCTGTGTGTCTGTGGAACTTAGAGTGGATTAAGACAAGGTAAATGGAGTAGGTAGACTTTCATGCTAAGGACTACTTTACAGAGGGAACCACTGAAGCATTTTTCTAGAAAATGAGCATGCTGTCAATGTTATCTAGTAATCTACACATTTACCACTATCTCAAGAATATGGCATGAGCCCAAACCTCACCTTCGTGCAATATACCTAGGTAACAAATCTTCATGATTCTAAATAAATACCCATAATTCTAAAATAAATAAAATAGACCAGCAAAGGTAAATTATTTCTACGTGCAAATGAATATACAAAGTGTAACTATTTTACCTTTATGTTCCGATCACAATCTTCAGAACGTTTTATTGACACATCCGTTGAAAACTCAACTGTTGGCTTTTCTTCTACAGACAGAACATTTCCAGGATTGTCAAAAATGGGCTGATCCTGTTTTTTAATAAGTGGCAGCTTCATTTCCTATGCAAAATTCATTTTATAAAATTTAATGTTTATATTTCTATTTTTATGCTGATACATAAAACAATGAGTAGACATAATATATTCAAATATATTTTAGGATTTATCAACTAGCAACAATGCATTGCCCATGAAACACTTAAGATTCAAATAGTTAAGAATAAAAACTTGAATAATTTAAGTTCAAAAAATTTACTAAAAATTTGCTTTTATAAGGAACTGTGCTAAATATAAAGATAACTAAGGCTCAGTGCATATTCTTAAGGAGTTTAAAACCTAGTAGGCAAAATAATGCTTATTTTTTCCTTAATGGTACATGAATTTCCACTAGAAAGCTGCATATTAGAAAGGATGCAAAAACTAAAAGGTCTTGTAGGTATACATGCAAGAGAAATGAAAACATATGTCCCCACAAAAACATATACATGAAAGTTCACAACTGCATTGTTCAAAATAAGCAAGAAAGTGGAAAAAAACTCAGATGTGCATCAATTGGTGCATGGCTAAACAAAATGCAGCACATCTATACAACAGACAATTATTCACCAATAAAAAGGAATAAGCACTGACACAGGCTGTAGTGTATATGTACCTTAAAAACATTATGCTCACTAGAGACCGCACATTGTATGATTCCACTGTGTGAAATGTTCAGAACAGACCAGTCTACAGGAAGAAAAAGTGGACTACGGCCTGCTAAGAGCTGGCAGGATTAGGAGGAAATGGGAAGTGATCACTAATGGAAACAGAGTTTCTTTATGAGGAGATGAAAACATTCTAAAAATCAATTATGGTGATGGCTGCAAACTCTGTGACTATACTGAAACGAGTTATATGCTTGAAATGACTGAATTGTATGGTATGTCAATTTTTATCTAAATAAAGCAAAAGAACTTACAAGCTGAGTTTTGGAAATAAATTTTCTCCATCTTTTATTCAGCCTTCTCAGTTCCTTAGAAATGGATGATCCAACTGCATCATTGCTGACTTCGATTAAGAAATTTCCTGCTTCGTTTAAAGTAGTATGTTCTGCATCCCACTGTGATAGTGTCTCAAAGGGAATCTATATAATATATGAGCAACATGGTATTTTAGTGACACAGTCTTTGTCTTTCTATAATCTATGATAGATCTTCACCAAGGCTAATTCTAAGCAAAAGTAAATGTGGTGGTTTTTGCAGAGATGTTGCCTAGCCCCTTAGAGAATGCCACCATCCCTGTTGATCTAACTCTTCAACTTATCTGCTGACAGGTACCAGCTGTCTGTCATTACTCTTGGTCCTGGACTTTTAGGAAGTATCTAATCTCTCTAAGTGGCTGATGAGCTTACAACAGAGGTTCCCAAATTTGTTCAGTTCATGGAGCCCTAACGTCTCTAATTTTTTCACAGAGTCCCAAGGCCAGAAGAATTACCTAAGTTCCCATTTTTTTGTAGTTAAGTTCAACAACTTAGTAGTGACATGGTGTCCAAGAGAAAGATGTTGCCATGTTTCCCCCCAAATTTAGAGTATCCTGTAAGTTCTCTTACTTCTCTTCAATAGCTCAGAGCATCTCAGCAGAGTTTAGGAACTATGAACTTAGACTGTTTTTTTCTTCTTCTCAGAGTTATGTGTTATTTTTTTAAAAAATATGATTGAGATTCGTCTTGATATGTTGCCCAGACTGGTCTCAAACTCCTGGCCTCAAACAATCCTCCCACCTTGGCCTCCCAAAGTGCTGGGATCACAGACATAATCTACCGCAGAGTTATGTACTTTTTAATAGAAGACCTTTAAAGACAGACAAACTGTTGGAAGTCAAAGATTTGAATTTCTAGTAACAATAGCAGTGACAAGAAGTGATGACTCACTTAATCCCTGAAATGCTCTTTTTTGTACTCATACTCATATCACAGATTTTACTTTCATACACATAAATAACCTATTTTCTGTTGAGTAATTTTACTTTCCACTTGGAAAATGTTTCAACTGAAAGGCTATCAATAGGCACATGCAACAGAGGAAAACAGATGAGAGAAAGAAAAACTACCTTAGACAATCATAAAACAGATTATTACATGAAAAACAATAATGAATTACATTGGCATTTCTTCCACACTTCTCTATGTATGTCTAAGGTATTTTGATTTTCCTCCACTAGAAAATCAGAAAGATTTAAAAACTGAAAGGTTTCAACCAAATGGAAAAATAAAACTTTTAAAAGAGTAGTTTATTTTAAATGTGTCTATAAGCTAGCAAGTATGTTAAATCTTTTATTTTCTCTCCAAATAGCTTAGCAAAATATGTCTCCCCAAAGCTATATTATGTATATAAATTCTACCTCAATAAAGCTGTGTGTGTGTGTGTGTGTGTGTGTGTATGTGTATATATATAAAACTCATGGCGTGGAGAAAACTTCTTCCTTTTGGGAAGAAACTAAGCTCTTTCCAAGACCTTGGATAATTTTTCAAAACAAGTGTTCACTCTTCTCTGGAGTCTCATCTTTGGATTGAAAATGAGTCATGAAACAAAATAAAATTGAGCAGGTGTCATTAGACTGCAAATACCTCTTTAATTTGTTCCTTCTTCGTGTCCTCAAAACACGACTTTAGGGAATGAAGCTTTTCCACATAAGTAGCCCAGCATGTCAGAACTTTCTGTAGCGTGGACTTCACATTTGATATATTTTTTCTATACATACAAACATTATATTTCACCATCATATACTGTTTATTAATATTCTGATATTCTCCAGCTACAATATTAACAAAACAAGAAAGTAATCTTAGCAAATACTTTTTTATTAATACTGTTAAAATATCTGCATATTAATTGACAGCAGCAAGATGATATGTACTATGACAACATTAAAAGGGAAAGCAAGAATTTCTCCAAGGAAAACACACATGTAAGACTCATTCTAAAACACTCAAGTATAAAGAACATACAAATGTCATTTCTAAGTGATCGGCATTTCATCCAAAAGTAATTGAACTACTTACCCAAATTCTTATAAATTTCTTCACATTTTCGAAAACCAGTATCAAGTTGAGCTAGGAACGCTTTTTCCTCAATAAATTTCTGAGAGGAAGAAAAAAGATATATTGATGGCATTTTATTTTTAAAATGTGCCAAGAAATCTAGATAGTGATGTAAGACATTGATGGCACACATAATTACTGAAATTTATTTAGGGCCTATGTAATACATATTTGGTAAGAAAAGAGGAAGAGTCGTTCAGGAAAAAGAATGGTTAAGATCTAGGAGACATAAATGAGTATGTTCACCACATAGGTGTGACAAGTAAGAAAGTTGACCTGAGTGTTGTGACAAGGTTCTACCATGGTTTTCCTCTTGTGGGAGAAGGCATGTGAAGCATTTGTGGCAATTTCAAAACTTCCTGCTTTGCATATTTTATTAACATTGCATACTTGTATCTTAATTACATGTTTTATTAACACTGAGTAATTTTTATTAGCTATATTAGAGTATGTTATAAATAGATATTCTCTGTTACGCAAAAACATTTCAGAAACTACAATGAACCAAATTGTGCCACAGAAAAACATTGAGCTAATTCAAAACTCTTATTTACTGTACACTTATGTGTGCCAATGGTGTGATTATTTAAATAGAAAAACAAAAATTTAAAGAAGGCAAAAGAAATAAAAAATATTCAAAATCTAGTTTAGTTTAGCATGATGATTCCTGTTTGAAAACATACAGTGTTCAAATCATAAACTGTAAATAAGTTTCTCTAGATGATGTATTTCAATTTTTGCAATAAAATTCACAATCCTGATTTTTCTTTTTCTCCCCTTATTCTCAACAAAAGGGACACAGAAACAAAGATTAGGCTTTCATGTAGAAATAACATTTCTGTGATGCTTTAGTTCTAAATTAGATGGGAATACATTTATATTTAAATCTCTTGAAACATTTTCCCTATAAATTAGAAGAGCTAAAAACAAGGAGAAAAAGTCTTAAGGCCAAACAGTATTTGTTTTTCCTAAATACTAATTTTTTTTTAATTGAGATAAGGTATCATTCTGTCACCCAGGCTGGCACTCAGAGGCGCAAGCATCGCTCACTTGAGGCTCACGTGGTCCTCCTACCTCAGCCTCCCAAGTAACTAGGACTTCCAGCTGTGTGCCACCACTTTCGACTAATTTTGTTTGTTTTTGTAGAGATGGGGTCTCACTATGTTGCTCAGGTTGGTCTTAAACTCCTGGCTTCAAGTGATCCTCTCACCTCAGCCTTCCAAAGTGCTGGGATTACAGGTGTGAGCCGCCGTGCCCAGCTCCTTAATTATTAAAAAGAGTAATTTTTTAAAAAAAAGGTTAAAAAGAGGCTGAGATCAAAATATTGTTAAAAAAATTTAATTAATGAATGAAACCAAAAACTAGAAAGGGAAAAAATACAAGTAAGTGAAAAAAAAGAGTTTCTAATGAAAAACAAAATTTTAAAAAATTGAAACCTCTGTTACATTAATTGACTTGGTTAACTCAATCTTCTCTATGGTGGTAAATAATACTGTTTTCTCTTTCTTCCTCTTTGCTATTCTCGCTATTTGTCTCCCTGTAATTCTTTTTTTTTTTTGAGTCAGGTGTCACTGTCACCCAGGCTGGAATGCAATGACATAATCATGGCTCACCACAGCCTTGACCTCCTGGGCTCAGGCGATCCTTCTGTCTCAGCCTCCCAAGTAGCTGGGACTACAGGCACATACTACCACACCCGGCTGACTTTTTGGTTTATTGGTAGAGACAAGGTCTTGCTATGTTGCCCGGGCTGGGCTTGAACTCCTGGGCTCAAGTAATTCTGCCTTGGCCTCCCAAAGTGCTGGAATTACAGGCAGGAGTCATCACACCCAGCCTAGACTCCCTGTAATTCTTTTCTTCAGTCAATACTTAAGCTAATAAAAGGCTACCCAGAAAACTCATCCCAAAACCTAGCGAGTTAATAAGAAATAATGCCAAGAAAAAATACAAACCCAATACCCAGATATTAAGAACAGTTGCCTAAAACACAGAACAAAATAGCTTACCTGCCAGTCTTCCAGCAATAGTTCCACAGATTCTCTGTTCCCATATTTAATGTTCCAAATATCCAATTTTGATTTCACTTCATCTAGCAAACCAAGAACTGAGCATTTATAGTAATGAAATTCTAGAAGTGGAATGAATTTCTTTCCCAAAATGTTGTTGATTCTAGAAAACAGTACAGGTTATAGAATTTAAACTGCTATTATTGACAAAACATGAGCAATCTGTTCAGTATTTTTTGAAGTAGTGGGACTTTAACCTTTTCTTCCATGTGTTTAAAGGAAAATATCGTTATTTTTTTCTTTTTTAAACAATGTAAAGCAAACAGTGTGGCTAGGTATAAAACAGTCATTTCTAAGGTGAAAAACAGAACATTTTCCGAAGAAACTATTCCCGTCGAGAAATCTTGTAATAAACTGTTGCTATACAAAATATTTTACTAAATCTGAAAACTTCCATAAGACTTATGAAACTATAATTTAAAAGTATATATTAAGGCAGTTTTCATTATTAAGGCTAACATCCTCTCATTATGCTAATAAGAGGCTTTTGAGTAATAAGAAGAGAAGATATTGTGGACAACCATCAATTAAATCATCTCTATAGTACTTTAGGGTTAATACACCTCTCCCTATTTGATCCAGTGTCCTTGTGAGACATGGGCAGGGGGATTATCATCCTGTCTTTACAAATGAGGAAACATGCTCAAAAAGACAGAGGAATTCAGCCAAAACCAAGATCCAGAGCTCAGTTTCTGACTCTAATTCCAGAACTTTTTCCATCACCATATTCCACCGTTCAATAAAACAGGATGTTAGCATGATATAATGTTACTACTACATAAACCATGAAGGTGTTGTTATCAAGATGTCAAGGAGAAAACTCTTCAGAAATTATCTAAAAATCTCTATTTTGTGGTCCCTGTCGCACCACATTGAACAGTACCAGCAGTTGTGAAATGGTAGTGTTACAAACCGTCTTTTCATTTCATCCAGTTTGTTAGGTGGTACCAACAGCAAATGGTTTTCATCTCTATTTTCAAATGTAAGGAGACTGTTCGAATGACAGTCAAATCTATCCATCAGATGCTGGAAAAAAAAAAATTGTACAATATAAACCAGATTTATTGCCAAGCACTGTAATGAAGGCTTGTTCATCTCACCTGCATTATCTCTTTTTCCAAAAATGTCATAAAGCCCCTTTCTTTTAAACTCAGATTTTGTGAATAAATATTTTCATCAGAAACATTTTAAACAGGAACATTTTACAGAGACGGCCTGCCGTTTCTTTGGTAAAACCATTATCACAATTTTTTGTTTTCTGATAAGTTTTCTACTTCTTTGTAAGCTCAAATCCTATAAATCTCACATAACACAATCTTTCATGCCATTTTAAAGAAACCCTATTCTCTTACATTTCAAATGAGGTTATCCCTGGCCCCTGGCCTTTTTTTGGTCAGCCTTTACAACTGCTTTAAAACGCCATCATTCTAGGCCCGGCACAGTGACTCAAGTCTATAATCCCAGCACTTCGGGAGGCTGAGGTGAGAGGATTGAATGAGCTCAGGGGTTCAAGATCAGCCTGAGCAACTTGGTGAAACCTCATCTCTACAATAAATGAAAAATTAAGCCAGGCGTGGTAGCATGTGCCTGCAGTTCCGGCTACTTGGAAGGCTTGAGGCGGAAGGATCACTTGAGCCCAGTAGGTTGAAGTTTTGGTGGCCACGAGCGTGCCACTACACTCTAGCCTGAGCAATGGAGTGAGAAGCCAACTCAAAAACAAAAACAAAAAACCAAACCCCCCTCCCCCCCGCATCATTCTTTGACTCTATCCTTACTGTTTCAACCCTAAACTAGCACAATGGTCAAGAATGTAAAGGCATCTTTTAGAAAGCGGAATCTTTCTAAACCATCTTCAAATACCCAGAATATTTCCTTCTCTTCTTTCTAGGACAGTCTTCCTCAATTTGTCCCTAACATAGTACAGATTTTTTTCCCCACATCTCTTTTTCTTTTCCAACCTTGAATAAAGTTATTTTCTCTTGTATCAGAGTCATGGCTTCCGAGTAATCCTGAGAGGTTGGCAAATCTTCTTCCATAAGCACTTCCACCTCCTGGAGCCAAGCTTCAATTTGTTGGAGGGGTGGTGGCAGGGCATAATTCAGCTCTGTTTTCCAAGCTTTCATCTGAAAAAAAGGGAAGATGCTCTTCAGTAGAACGTTTCTAATGTATTGTCTTCACATACAGTATGCTTAATTCTTTAAATGAAAACCAAGTTTCACTGAACAATGTGATCCATTAGTCAAGAAAATCTTTATCAATGAGTATCTTAGTTCTAAATATCATTTAGCTACTGACTGATCAGGCATATCATTTGTTCCAGAGCTGTCAGAAAAGAGAACAAGAAAAAACACAAATGTTTTGATAAACCCATAGGGAAAATCTGAAATGCTTAAATCACTCCTCTAGGTAGGGATAGACTATCACACTAAATGACCATTGTTTGAAATTCTGTATGAGAGGATCAAATAAACCCCAGAATTGTGTTTCAGAGGGCAGGCCCCTTGCAGTGCAGGCCTCCCCGCTCAGTAAGTGTTCTAGAACCCCATCGGCATCGGCTAGCTTTGTTCCGAGAGGCTGTGTTTGGCTTCAGTGAATTTTTTTTTTTTGAGATTCTGTCAGTGCATTTGCCCATTTCATGATGGGTGACTTATGAGCGCACCTGCCCACACCACACAGAGTGTTCAGCAGTTTTTGACCAAAACGACATGACCCCTGTGCCCTACTCTCCCTATTCACTTGATCTCGCTGGAAGTAGCTTTTTTGTTTGTTCTTTTCCCCAGAGGAAAAAAGCCCTCAAAGGTAAATGTTTGGTCAATGTGAAAGAGGTGGACCAAAAAATGGCAGAAGCACTAAAAAGCATCAACACTGACGAGTTCAAAAACTGTTTTGAACAGTGGAAAAAGCCTCGATAGGTGTATTGCATCAAACGGAGAGGACTTTGCAGGCAACAGAAGTTTAAACATGTTAGAACAAATACACACTTTTTTATAAATTTATCCCAGGTTTTTTGGAACCCCCCTCGTATGTCCTCTGTTCTCTGACATGACAACATCTTCCACATTTGTAAACGTGTAAGTTATTGTCCTCACTCGCCCTAACTGTAAACTTACATGAGATCTCTCTACGAATATCTGTCCTTCACCAAAGCCTTCCCCAATCCAGGCACAACTCCTCCTTCCTCAGCCTCCCACCAATCCCAACACACACACACGCATGAGTCACACACCTCGACTACTTGTTTCCCCAAATACTTGTTGTGCTCTCGCACCTTTGCTCCTGCTTCCCCAGAAATCCTGTCTTTTAAGTACTATCAAAACTCGTGCACACAATCATTCATTAATTCATTCACTGAGCAAACATTTAAAACCACCTATTGTGCTAAGCATTCAAGATAAAGATACAGAAGGTTTATGGAGCGGAAAGAGGACCTATGATGGTCACCTACCATAGAGCATGGTGCAACAGTTAGGAGCAAAGTAGATACACCCATGGTGACATGGAGGCACTTTAGATTGTACTCAAAAATAAATGTGAGAAACAACATATAACTGCCACTTCCACAACTTAAAAATACACATATGTGTAAATTCAATGAGTATTTGGCAAAAGCATAAGAAACTAAAACATACACACTAGACACATCAAGATGGGTCGAAGGAGAAAAGGGAATAGAAAGAAGGTATGGGCATAATAGGAAATAAGCACATAATTAAGGAAATGAATAAAAGCAAGAGCAGAGGCTAGCCCAGACCCATGTGCTGGGTATAAACAGAAGAGTAAACTTAACACAACCTCCTCCTTTTGAGGGTCAAATAAATAAAAGCCACAGTTCTTGCCTGCTATCCAAAGAAGTAAACATGAGCATGACTACAGTAAAGTGTGGTGAGTGACATAACAGAACCAGGCAGAGAGGCTGTGGAAAGACCTTGGACAAACACCAACTCTAGAATGATGACCAGAAATCTTTTTTTTTTTTTTTTTGAGTTGGAGTCTTGCTCTGTCGCCCAGACTGGAGCGCAGTGGCCGCTCCCGGCCACCGCAGCCTCAACCTGCTGGGCTCCGGCGATCCTTCCGCCTCATCCTTCA